AGGAGAGTGGGTGACTGGGTAGCAGAGTGGGTGACTGAGTAGGAGAGTGGGTGAGTGAGTAGGAGAGTGGGTGACTGAGTAGGAGAGTGGGTGAGAGAGTAGGAGAGTGGGTGACTGAGTAGGAGAGTGGGTGACTGAGTAGGACAGTGGGTGACTGAGTAGGAGAGTGGGTGACTGAGTAGGAGAGTGAGTGAGTGAGTAGGAGAGTGGGTGAGTGAGTAGGAGAGTGGGTGACTGAGTAGGAGAGTGGGTGAGTGAGGAGGAGAGTGGGTGAGTGAGTAGGAGAGTGGGTGACTGAGTAGGACAGTGGGTGACTGAGTAGGAGAGTGGGTGACTGAGTAGGAGAGTGGGTGAGTGAGGAGGAGAGTGGGTGAGTGAGTAGGAGAGTGGGTAACTGAGTAGGAGATTGGGTGAGTGAGTAGGAGAGTGGGTAACTGAGTAGGAGAGTGGGTGACTGAGTAGGAGAGTGGGTGAGTGAGTAGGAGAGTGGGTAACTGAGTAGGAGAGTGGGTGACTGAGTAGGAGAGTGGGTGAGTGAGTAGGAGAGTGGGTGACTGAGTAGGAGAGTGGGTGACTGAGTAGGAGAGTGGGTGACTGAGTAGGAGAGTGGGTGAGTGAGTAGGAGAGTGGGTGACTGAGTAGGAGAGTGGGTGCCTGGGTAGGAGAGTGGGTGACTGAGTAGGAGATTGGTGAGTGAGTAGGAGAGTGGGTAACTGAGTAGGAGAGTGGGTGACTGAGTAGGAGAGTGGGTGAGTGAGTAGGAGAGTGGGTGAGAGAGTAGGAGAGTGGGTGAGTGAGTAGGAGAGTGGGTGAGTGAGTAGGAGAGTGGGTGAGTGAGTAGGAGAGTGGGTGAGTGAGTAGGAGAGTGGGTGACTGGGTACGAGAGTTGGTGAGTGAGTAGGAGAGTGGGTGAGTGCGTAGGAGAGTGGGTGACTGGGTAGCAGAGTGGGTGACTGAGTAGGAGAGTGGGTGAGTGAGTAGGAGAGTGGGTGACTGAGTAGGAGAGTGGGTGAGAGAGTAGGAGAGTGGGTGACTGAGTAGGAGAGTGGGTGACTGAGTAGGACAGTGGGTGACTGAGTAGGAGAGTGGGTGACTGAGTAGGAGAGTGTGTGAGTGAGTAGGAGAGTGGGTGACTGAGTAGGAGAGTGGGTGACTGAGTAGGAGAGTGGGTGAGTGAGGAGGAGAGTGGGTGAGTGAGTAGGAGAGTGGGTGACTGAGTAGGACAGTGGGTGACTGAGTAGGAGAGTGGGTGACTGAGTAGGAGAGTGGGTGAGTGAGGAGGAGAGTGGGTGAGTGAGTAGGAGAGTGGGTAACTGAGTAGGAGATTGGGTGAGTGAGTAGGAGAGTGGGTAACTGAGTAGGAGAGTGGGTGACTGAGTAGGAGAGTGGGTGAGTGAATAGGAGAGTGGGTAACTGAGTCGGAGAGTGGGTGACTGAGTAGGAGAGTGGGTGAGTGAGTAGGAGAGTGGGTGACTGAGTAGGAGAGTGGGTGACTGAGTAGGAGAGTGGGTGACTGAGTAGGAGAGTGGGTGACTGAGTAGGAGAGTGGGTGACTGAGTAGGAGAGTGGGTGCCTGGGTAGGAGAGTGGGTGACTGAGTAGGAGATTGGGTGAGTGAGTAGGAGAGTGGGTAACTGAGTAGGAGAGTGGGTGACTGAGTAGGAGAGTGGGTGAGTGAGTAGGAGAGTGGGTAACTGAGTAGGAGAGTGGGTGACTGAGTAGGAGAGTGGGTGAGTGAGTAGGAGAGTGGGTGACTGAGTAGGAGAGTGGGTGACTGAGTAGGAGAGTTGGTGACTGAGTAGGAGAGTGGGTGACTGGGTAGGAGAGTGGGTGAGTGAGTAGGAGAGTGGGTGAGTGAGTAGGAAAGTTGGTGATTGAGTAGGAGAGTGGGTGACTGAGTAGGAGAGTGGGTGACTGAGTAGGAGAGTGGGTGACTGGGTAGGAGAGTGGGTGAGTGAGTAGGAGAGTGGGTGACTGAGTAGGAGAGTGGGTGACTGAGTAGGTGAGTAGGTGACTGAGTAGGAGAGTGTGTGAGTGAGTAGGAGAGTGGGTGAGTGAGTAGGAGAGTGGGTGAGTGAGTAGGAGAGTGGGTGAGTGAGTAGGAGAGTGGGTGACTGAGTAGGAGAGTGGGTGAGTGAGTAGGAAGTGGGTGAGTGAGTAGGAGAGTGGGTGAGTGAGTAGGAGAGTGGGTGAGTGAGTAGGAGAGTGGGTGACTGAGTAGGAGAGTGGGTGAGTGAGTAGGAAGTGGGTGAGTGAGTAGGAGAGTGGGTGCCTGAGTAAGAGAGTGGGTGAGTGAGTAGGAGAGTGGGTGAGTGAGTAGGAGAGTGGGTGAGTGAGTAGGAGAGTGGGTGAGTGAGTAGGAAGTGGGTGAGTGAGTAGGAGAGTGGGTGCCTGAGTAGGAGAGTGGGTGAGTGAGTAGGAAGTGGGTGAGTGAGTAGGAGAGTGGGTGCCTGAGTAGGAAAGTGGGTGAGTGAGTAGGAGAGTGGGTGACTGAGTAGGAGAGTGGGTGAGTGAGTAGGAGGTGGGTGAGTGAGTAGGAGAGTGGGTGCCTGAGTAGAAGAGTGGGTGAGTGAGTAGGAAGTGGGTGAGTGAGTAGGAGAGTGGGTGCCTGAGTAGGAGAGTGGGTGAGTGAGTAGGAGAGTGGGTGAGTGCGTGAGAGTGTACAAGGCGTCTGTGAGTGTGCTGCACCTTAGCCTTGTGGGGCTGCACCTGGGGATTGACTCCGCAGTAGCAACTTGTGTGTTTAATTCCTGCCCAGTGTTGTACTGTAACCTCGCCGTACGCGTGTCCACTGAAGGGTTGTTCCTCGGCAAAACTGTTAACCGTCTACAGAATTACCGGTTCTCAAAGTCTGGTATCCGGTTTTTGTCCGGTTTTGCAACCCCATTCGCTTACCGGTTACGCAGGAACACCGATGTTAGTGCCCCCAATATATGGTGGTACCGCACAGTATCGACGCGGCCTTCCACGGTCGTCAAGGCGGGGTGTTCGAGAGATGCTTCCCCACAGAAGTCGCTCATCGGTCTCGTAGAGAGAGAGAGGGAGATGTGGGGGAGCAGCAGCAGCCACGTGGTGGTGAGGAGCCGACGCCAAATTACCCGCACCCAAAGCCCTGCTGCCGTTCTCTACATGTTCAGGCGTTGTTGGTCAATTAATGATTTACATAATTGGACCTCCTTTGCCAGTACCGAAATATAATAATAGGGTTTTCCCCCTTTTTTCTGGCAACAAAACTGAAACCTTTTTTTTTACGAGGATTCATGTCTGCATTAACCACAATACTTGCAGTCAAAATGCAAACAAAAACACACACTATGATAATATATGCATTGTCCTTCAAACTCATTGGTCCACGCCAGAGACATTATCAGAGTGCTTTCTGTTTGCATTTTGACTGCAAGTATTGTGGTTAATGCAGACAGGAATCCTCGTAAAAAAAGGTTTCAGTTTTGTTGCCAGAAAAAAGGGGAAGCCTGGTGGTGACCACCAGGCTAACTACACTAGTTACCACGTGACTGGTGTAGTTAGCCAGGTGGTGACCACCAGGCTAACTACACTAGTTACCACGCGACTGGTGTAGCTAGCCAGGTGGTGACCACCAGGCTAGCTACACTAGTTACTACGTGACTGGTGTAGCTAGCCAGGTGGTGACCACCAGCAAACTACACTAGTTACCACGTGACTGATGTAGCTAGCCAGGTGGTGACCACCAGGCTAACTACACTAGTTACCACGTGACTGGTGTAGCTAGCCAGGTGGTGACCACCAGGCTAGCTACACTAATCACAACGTAAATGCTACTATGGACTGGGACCACAGCTCGGGTCCATGTCCACGTGTTGGAGACTCGGTAGAGCGTAGAAGAAGGTTTCTTCAAGATTAACAACCACGCCGGTGCCCTCTGCGGCGTGGCCGGCTCCGCCCTTGGCCACGCCCACCTTCCAGAATCCTCGAGCAGGATCTAGACCCCGACCACGTGACCACCCCTAGCCCCCACTCGGGGCCCCTTTGTAGACTTAACCGGTCACGCGTCCTCTCGGGTCAACCAGAGTGCCATGGCCTTTAGGAACCCCTTTCCTATGGCCGGCACTCCCACACCCTATCCTGTAGGGGTTGGCACTGCACGCCAAGCGTGATGCCATGCAGCGCTATCAATCAGCGCTGACCGGGCCCCTCTAGGGCCGGTACTACACCCACACCAGAGTGGTATCCACGATGTCACTACACATATATACTGTGCTGTATACTATATACACGATGCATTACTAAGTTCTCAATTAATATCGATTATCGTCTCGCGACCAATCGAATCGTGCGTGTAAGAATCGATGTTTGTATTTCTATGCAAATTATAATGATGCCCACAATGTTGGGAGATTTGGAGATGGAGCTGTGGCCGCAGTTGTTAGCGTGCTGCGCTGTGAACTCGACCATCTGATGTTTGAATCCCGGTCGCGGTTAACGCGGCGGTGCTACCCGATGGGAGTGGGGGGGGGGGTCGAGGAGGGGGGGTCAAGGATGGGGGGGGGAGTTCAGGAGTCGGGGGCCCAAGGAGAATATATTCTTGGCCTCACCGTGCAAGGTCATCGTAGAGGTCGGCAAATAAAATCGAACACGGGGCACTTTCCTCAATCAAAACACCACCGTGTGTGGCTTTTAAACTAAATATATTATACCCTAAGTTTCTGGCAATTACCCTTCTACAGAGCACAGTTTGCCTCCTGCCCATTTCCTATATGTTTTTCCTTTTAAGGCCGAACACTGTTCTTGTTGTTGTTGGCTTTGTGCACCGCTGCCAACGCAGCAGCATCGCCACTTAATCTTTTTTATGAATCTGTTGTCATGATGGGGGTTTTTCATCATCCACATATTGGATTGACCCATCGAGTACATTCCCAGCAAACACACCAACCTTGGCCCAACGTTCCGTCTTTACTTGGTAATGCCCTCGACGCGGGACGACGCGTGGCACAAAACCAAACCGACCACATATACAAAAAGTCAGCAGCTGATGTTTTCTTTTTTGCAAAACATGTATTTTTGTACACAGCTCACATATTTACAACCAACATTTTGCAAGACCCGGATATAAATAGATAAATACTGGTAGTGTATGATTATGATCATGACATCATACACAGTAAACACAAAGTGCGATGCAGCGACACAATTGGGCATCACAAATCCCCCCACGCAATCCAGCCAATCAGGTTCGTCCATTGCACTGCTGGACCACCACGGTAGCCAATCACGTGTGTACATTGCGCTGCTGAGAAAACACGGCATTCAATCAGGGTTGACCGTTTCAATGTTGAGACATCACACGGACCAATCACATTTGTTCGTTCTCACTTTTGGGCAATCACGGTAGCCAATCAGCTATTGTGCGTTTCGACTGCTGAGCAAATACGCTGACCAATCACGTGTTCACACGAAAATTGCTAACTCTTATCACATATTTGAGAGTGCTGTTTGTTGCTGGCCGTTTGATAATTTTAGGCCTGTTCCGTTCCAACAAAAGCAACATCGATCGGCAAAGCCACCCCGAGTTTGTTTCCAGACATTGTCCGACATCCCAGGCACTGGCCTCACCCAATCTCACACGATTCACTGTGTCAGCATTTCCAAGAAAACAATTCTAACAACAATATTAATATATTATAATAAATTATACCGCCAAACTTAACCTGATAACTTAGGAATGAGTCCTCCATCCATTCATCGATCCATCCATTCGTTCGTTCGTTGCAGAAACAGGCTGAATGTTGAAAGACGCCCTATTAAACAATACCGTATATATGTTTAACACACAACGTATGTATGCTGAACTTCTTTCGCACCGTACGAGTGTGTGCGTGTGGACGAGCGGTGCGGCGGGGGGAGGAAGGGGGGCTGTAAACGTGGAATGGGATGCGAGACGACAGAGAGTGAAAAGGTTTGTGGTGGTACATTAACTTTTAGCCACGTAACGATTTTGGCAAATATGTCGCGAGTCCCTCTACCACCCGGCGGCGATTAGAGATGTGACGCGTTCGGATTCTGATTTTGAGTATTAGGGGCGAAGCCAGTGCGAGAGGATGATTGGAAGTTGGAGATGAGAAAAGGGTTAGGGCCAAGGGTAGTGCTAGAATCGGATTGGCTAGTGTGATTAGGGGAGGGCTAATGGTATTATGTACTGGTACAGTTAGAGTTGCGGGTAGTTCTGGGGGCTGGTTGGCTAGTTAGCGGTAGTTCTAGGGGCCGATTTCCCTTGCGATGAGCCGGCAGCGGATCGGGGTAGTGCTGGGTGCTGATTGGCTGCGTTGTTGGGCAAGGCTCTGTCCAATGCCCTTCGCCAGGCCACGCTCCACTCCGGTTCCTCTCCCCTCTCTCATCCTCTCTCGGTGGATGCCGAGCGGCCGAATCGCGAACTCGAAACTTCACCGCTGGGTGGCGATGTCATCGGACCGCCGGAGACGGAGCCCAGGGTCCGTGCGGTGGCGAGTCACGCGACAACATCCGCTGCGCTGGCGGCTGCGATGATTCCGATGTGGAGCGAATCCTTCCTTGGCCTCGGGGTTGATGATGATGACGGTGATGATGATGATGACGGTGGTGGTGGTTGTGGTGGGAGCCACTCTATCTCGCTGCGCTCTCACGGAAAGGCACTTCTATTGTTGTTGTCGTCGCGGGGACTCCGCAGTGTTCCAGACACCGCAGCGCTGGCACAACTCGGCGGGTCGAACTCTGCAACACCACGGCAGAAGGGGGGGGGGGGGGGGGGGGTGAGCGAGGGGGGAGAAACAGACGCCGCTCCTCGTCCATGCAGCCCCACTCCCCCTTCCTCTCTCCGTCTCTCCCGACCCCTCAGCTCCCGTTCCTCCACTCCTTGCCCATGACGTTCCTCTCATCTCCCTCTCTCTCTCGCCCTCTTCGCTCTCCTCTTCCTTTTTAATTAAACCGGTGCCGGCTCGGGTGACCCTTGACGGCCGGGCAGACCACCTCCAAACATCGGAGAGAGAGAGAGTCATGTCGCGTGTCAACTCACCAGTGGCCGGAGGAGCAGAGAGGGCCGTTGGCGAGACGGATGAGGAGTCGCGCACACCGTTTGTAGTCTGCGTGGGTGAGAGAATGAAGAATAATAATATATGGTAGGTGTATAGGCCAGCACCTTCACCCTACGTGGCCGCGGACAATGCACGCGAGTGCGTTGTTTGTGATGGGCTATTACGGGAGCCCGATAATAATGCACTATAATCGGGCTGTCGTAATTGACTCCATTACATACAGTGAGGGAAAAAAGTATTTGATCCCCTGCTGATTTTGTACGTTTGCCCACTGACAAAGAAATTATCAGTCTATCATTTTATTGGTAGGTTTATTTGAACAGTGAGAGACAGAATAACAACAAGAAAATCCATAAAAACGCATGTCAAAAATGTTATAAATTGATTTGCATTTTAATGAGGGAAATAAGTATTTGACCCCTCTGCAAAACATGACTTAGTACTTGGTGGCAAAACCCTTGTTGGCAATCACAGAGGTCGGACGTTTCTTGTAGTTGGCCACCAGGTTTGCACACATCTCAGGAGGGATTGTGTCCCACTGCTCTTTGCAGATCTTCTCCAAGTCATTAAAGTTTCGAAGCTGACGTTTGGCAAATCGAACCTTCAGCTCCCTCTACAGATTTTCTATGGGATTAAGGTCTGGAGACTGGCTAGACCACTCCAGGACCTTAATGTGCTCCTTCTTCTTGAGCCACTCCTTTGTTGCCTTGGCCGTGCGTTTTGGGTCATTGTCATGCTGGAATACCCATCCACGACCCATTTTCAATGTCCTGGCTGAGGGAAGGAGGTTCTTACCCAAGATTTGACAGTACATGGCCCCGTCCATCGTCCCTTTGATGCGGTAAAGTTGTCCTGTCCCTTTAGCAGAAAAACACCCCCAAAGGATAATGTTTCCACCTCCATGTTTGACGGTGGGGATGGTGTTCTTGGGGTTATAGGCAGCATTCCTCCTCCTCCAAACACGGCGAGTTGAGTTGATGCCAAAGAGCTCCATTTTGGTCTCATCTGGCCACAACACTTTCACCCAGTTGTCCTCTGAATCATTCAGATGTTCATTGGTAAACTTGAGACGGGCATATATATATATGTGTTTTCTTGAGCAGGGGGACTTTGCGGGCGCTGCAGGATTTCAGTCCTTCACGGCGTAGTGTTACCAATTGTTTTCTTGGTGACTATGGTCCCAGCTGCCTTGAGATCATTAACAAGATCCTCCCGTGTAGTTCTGATTCCTCACCGTTATCATGATCATTGCAACTCCACGAGGTGAGATCTTGCATGGAGCCCCAGGCTGAGGGAGATTGACTGTTCTTTTGTGTTTCTTCCATTTGCGAATAATCGCACCAATTGTTATCACCTTCTCACCAAGCTGCTTGGCAATGGTCTTGTAGCCCATTCCAGCCTTGTGTAGGTCTACAATCTTGTCCCTGTCATCCTTGGAGAGCTCTTTGGTCTTTGCCATAGTGGAGAGTTTGGAATTTGATTGATTGATTGCTTCTGTGGACAGGTGTCTTTTATACAGGTAACAAGCTGAGATTAGGAGCACTCCCTTTAAGAGTGTGCTCCGAATCTCAGCTCGTTACCTGTATAAAAGACACCTGGGAGCCAGAAATCGTTCTGATTGAAAGGGGGTCAAATACTTTTTCCCTCATTAAAATGCAAATCAATTTATAACATTTTTGACATGCGTTTTTCTAGATTTTCTTGTTGTTATTCTGTCTCTCACTGTTCAAATAAACATACCATTAAAATTATAGACTGATCATTTCTTTGTCAGTGGGCAAACGTACAAAATCAGCAGGGGATCAAATACGTTTTTCCCTCACTGTACGCCGACACAAGCAAAGAGCCTCCCTTCTAGCCTGAACACGCTGTTGGGGCAAGTGATGTAAGCGCGCAGCACAATATGAAAGCCGGTACAGCACACGAGGGGGTGGTGTGGCAAGCACCGCGCACGGCCACGTGTCTCCCAAGTGATGACGTTTATTACACCAGGTACTCATTTGTGGCTGAGTCGACCTAGGGTGGGCCCAAGACCTGTTCAGATATTCGTCACCGACGTTGGCTGTGAGCGGGAATTCAACTCGGGTCGCCGAGTTCGTAGTACAGTGAGATAACCACTGAGCCACCGCTTCCCACTGACATTAACACACGCATTAACACACGCATTAACACACGCATTAACACACACGCATTAACACACACGCATTAACACACACGCATTAACACACACGCATTAACACACACGCATTAACACACACGCATTAACACACACGCATTAACACACACACATTAACACACACACATTAACACACACATTAACACACACACACAGAGCTCGGGGATAATTATCAGAGCCGGCGACGCGACCCTTGCGGCAGCGCGTTCGCCGCTTGTTGTCGCAGAGGTTCGCGGTGGTACTCACATTCTCGGAACGTGCACTCGCGGGTCTTGTGGTAGACCAGGTAGTAGTCGTGTATGCACGCCGGGGGGAAGTGTAGGGGACCTTCGGGGAGGGGAACGACAGCCCGCACGGCGCGCATTAATTTCTGCTCCGATGAATCGGAGCACAGCTCCGTCTCAATGTCCTTCCTCAGACCCCCTTGCCGCTCACACGTGGCCACCCCCAGCCCCCTTTCCTTCTGGGAGTGGCATCGACTCGGCAGCGTTGATTCAGGACGAGTAACCACTCCGGCGCGGTGTCGACATGCGCTCCCATCAATGCCGGAGAATCACGGCTCGGAACTGGCAAGGACTTGCTCTCTCTCTCTCTAGTCTCAAGGATGGAGGACTCACAAATAGAGCTTCCCGCCCGATTAAGCTGGTTGTAATTACTTGTGAAACGTCGTACTCGAATTGTAAATGTTGTGGATTTGCTCTCCAACACACCGGTGTGCTGAACTAGTAACGAATTTGGCACGTTCTGTTCACGTGTGGCGGGATTAATGACACGTTTATATTTACGCGATCGAACCCAAAAAACAACTCATGGATACGGGGCCCCAGCTTGGGGTTATGACTTAGGAACCCCCCCTCCCCCGCCCCCCCCCTCCCCCCATGGTGGCAACTGCTGAGCCAGGAGACGGAACCGAACCGGCACTGCAGACCTCCATCGCAAGAACATTGCGCTGCTGACCACCGCACTGCTGTGCTAGATGTCTCCGTCTCTCAGTTAAAGTTACAAATGCGTCGTGTTCATTGCCCCGGACTTGTCTGTATGTGCTACAAACCGTTTACTAACCGGTTTTACCGGGTTGTTAATGCGGTTACCGGTCATAAAAATACCCAACAATTTTTAACAAGCCCTCTGCGCGAGCTCTCGGGATCCCTTAAGTTTGGGGGTTATAAGGACCCCGGGTTTTGGTGATCCTCGGGCTCTGGGGGTCCCGGGTAGTGGAGGTCCCGGGTTCTTGGCGGTACCTGTTAGACGACTGATGTATCTGTCCTTGGAACTCTCTTTGTTCGGCCGCGCTCGTTCGCGAATATCCAGCTCTAGAGAGAGGGAGATAGCGAGAGAGACGATTAGTATCTATAATACGTGTTATATTGTCGGTATGTTGAGCTTCTTTCGCACCGTACGTAGTCAACCGTGCTAATCGGAGGAGCAATCGGAGCAAGAGGAAGTTCCTTTCAATTTGCTGCTTAATCTACGTTAGGGCGTGGTAAGTGTTCACTAACAGCACTTGCCCGAACAGGCTGTTGTAAGGCTCTGTGGGGGATCTTGCTCTGTTGACGACGTCACGCAGATAGCAACGGAGAGGTGGGGGCGGGGAGAATATTTGAAGATCTCCCGAGCAAACATTTTGGCAATTCTAAACAACGACGTTTCGCTGCAGACCCCGACCATCATACTCATCATCAGGTGTTCAGCAAAAGCTCTGCTCTCACCTGATGATGCTGGATATAATCTCCAGCGAAACATCGGACGAAATTGGCCCCTTTCAACATTCCTCCCCTTCCCTTGGTTGTTCGCCGTCCAGCCAGAAGGGCGGAGGTCGCGTGCTGCTCATGACGCCGCGACTCGGTGCGTTGTGGCTTTGTTGTCGCGGGGTTCACGCGATCCACGAGGCGACGATCTGACCCCGGGAGACGCGTAATCGTGAATCGTGGCAAGGCACCCTACCCGTAACGTTTCCCGTAAATGTAAAAACGGACAACGTTTAGAAAAAAAAGTATTGGTGGTTAAATTGACGGAATATCCCGATGGGATTTCCGTTATTTTACAGAGAACTACGTTATATTGACCCTCCAACCTCCCCCCACCAATTTATTGACAGGATATTTTAGGACTACGTGGAGGCTGCAGAGTGAATCTATGTAGCCTTATGGGGTTGTTCATTTACCCAAGCGTTTCTTTCTATGTTTACAGACAAACACAATAAAGGGAGTATGGTTTCACGAACAAATGCAATAATTATAATCTATGGCCATTTACATTTCTTCTAATTAGATTGTTTCAAAGATCGTAAAAAATTATGTGTAATAATGAGTGCCAATCATCATCATCACTCGCACCTACGTTTAGCATGGTTGGCTACGTACGTTGCTAAAGAAGTTGAACATATATACATCACTGTCATCATCCTCACCATCACTATCACCACCAACATCCTCTACAGATTGATTCATTATAGCAAACGCAAATCAAAACATTTGCTGCTGCTGCTGCGTCGGCAGTGGTGCACAGCCAACACCAACAACTCAACACACTCGTCAACAACAACAACCACACCACTATGTGTGTGGCTTTAAAATGTATCGTCCATGTGCTATGTGGCTATGTAGAAGGACCATTGCCACGCACGCAGTAGTGTTATTGACGAGTATGTTGAGCTCGCACGCTGCTCTGCTGTGTTAGAGATGCAGAGCATTGTCCCTCACGACGCCCCCACCATCCCATGTGCTCAGCCACGTCTCCGCTCCTCTCTCCTGGCTCCCCTCCATTGGCACAAGTTCCCACTCCACATCAACTCCCACTCCACGTCAACTCCCACAGGCAACTTAACGAAACCATTTTTCTTCCTCCCTGAAGACTTCTCGTTTTTTCAATCGTCTATCCCTCTACTACTTGCTGTCTTCGTTCTTAACATCTTAACCATCCTCCCCTTTCCCCCTTTCTAATTTCGCCAGCCCTCCCTTTTCCTACCATCACCCTTCTTTGCTATCCCTTCACCTCCCCAACACTCACGTACCATCCATTCTCCCAATCAGCCAATACTCCTAATGAACCATTTTTAATTTGTGAGAAGCGCTTTCACAATAGCGCCGTATGAAATCCTACATCAGATAACATCGCAGCATCTCGGTGGCACCGGCTTCATTGCCTGTCGCGAACCATTATCGCCCCCTGCAGGGAATATTTATAAGAATATAATAATGATGATGCAACTGGCATGCTATTAACTCGTGACACTGCGCCGCCACCACGGACGAGAAGCGGGAAGGCAGCAGCAGCCACGCGGTGATGAGGAGCCGACGACACCAACAATTTCCCCCCAAGCCCTGCGGTTCTCTATATATGAAGGTATTGGCCAAATTAGAGACGTGGCAGGTCATGACTTCTCCTCGACGCCCACCCACATGATAGGAAGGGAGTTCCACTACAGCATCTGTGCGGTGATCCACCAACCCTCGCTGCTGCTGCCTCCACAGTGCTGGATTGCAGGCAGGCACGTGCAGCAGCAGCGTAGCCACCACTAACACCACCACCACTACCAGAGACAACTCTGACTCGTATAATTCCTCCCGAGTTTCTTGATCTGTACCCAACGTCGCCTCCGCTCCATCTAACGGCCGCATCAATGCCATCTGTTCACGTCGCAGGCTCCGCATTGTGTGACGAGCCGTGTTCGGTTTAATGAGCTAGAAAATTGGGACCACCTTTAATTGGCCAATTTTGCCTAATTGGGAATATAACTGTCGCGCGTTCCTGATGCAACACCCCTCCCCACCCCGCCGCCTCCCAGCCCCCACCTCATCCCCCACATGTAGTCGTTTGTGTTCTTTGTATACCTTTAATGAGGGATGCACCTTGTTCTGTGTCTGTGCGCGCGTGAGAGAGGTGTGTGTGTGCGCGCGTGTGTGCATGTCTATGGGGCGCGGTAGTGCAGTGTTTAGCGCGCTGCGCTACAAACCCGCCGCCCCGAGTTCGATTCCCGTTCACGGATATTATCTCAACTGGTCCTGGATCTCCCCTAGATCGATTCAGTCTCAAATGAGTACCTGGTGCGGTGTGTAAACATCGCCACTAGAGAGGCAAAGGCGGCCGGGCGTGGTGCTGGCCACCGACCCCCTCGCGCGCTGCGTAGTATACGCCCGACCAGCGTGTTCGGTTTCCGATCACGGCCAACATTGCTCCTGGGTCTCCCCTGGGCCTCCCCTAAGTTGACAGCCTCCCATGAGGTGGCCGTGTGGCTGATGGAATGTGTCAAACAAAACACGTATTTCTTTCATTACGTGGACAGATGTCACCCTCCTCCTCCGCCGCTCGCTCTCGAACCACAGACAAGGCAGCAGCCATGCGGTTGAGGAGCCGGTGCTACCAACAGTTGCCCAAGCTCTGAGGTCCTCTATATATTTAAGTATTGTCGGCCAATTAATATGAATGTTTACATATATTACATTGTATTGTTTGTTTCGCACAAAAAATACAAACGAAAGACGAACAATGCCAGTAATAACGGGTGCGGTTGGAAACCCAAGAGGGCTTCTCTGAAAACCGCACCAAAAAAGAACAACGTATATACACAACTGATTGATCATTCAATTAAACAAAGCATACTAGTTACAATTAAACCAAATACGAACAAGGCGCATTCTCCGTACGAACACTCATTCATGGAGTTGTTCCAAAGATCCAAACATAGGGCCACGGAGCTTGGGCAATCGTTGGTGCCGGACCTATGGGCTGCGCCTTTCCACTTTGATGCTTTCCCGCGTGTGCGCCTCTTTGAGTCTGACGGTGCGGGCGCGGGCCCCGCACGGCCGACACGCACGCGCGGCATCCACGTTGGGGCGCTCGCCGTCTCCGCAAGGGCGCTCGCTCACGACTCGCGCCCTCCTCTTACCGGCGGCCGGGGGGTCCGCGTGCGGGCGGGCGCGGAGTCCCTCCGAACGGACGCCCATCGCCCGCGGGAGCCAGCTCTCGGTCATGTCCACGGCGGCCACGTCCCGGTCGGCCGAGGCCGCAACGGTGCCGGTCTCGGCCTCGGTAACGGATCCCGTGGGGTCGCTCTCGGAGGAGCTGCTGCTGCTGGTGGTGTTCTCATTTCTGCCGAGCAGCAGCAAAGCCAGCAGCGACCTCCCGTCGGCGGCCAAGTCGCGTTGCTGCTGCTGCCTCTGCCCGAGTTCAGCACCATGGACAGTGCCCCGGGCGAGCAGCAATAACAGGAAACGCAGTTGCCAGTCGCCCATCGTCGCTCGCGCGTGGCTGCGGGTGACACAAAGACACAGATCCCCCGTATAGCCTTCACACATTCTTGAGGAGAAAGTGGGTGACACACACATACACAGCGAAGCGCGTGGCCCCCCAAAGAGAAATGAGCACCCCCCCCCCCAGCACGCCCTCTGCTAGGCTGGTGGCCAACCCAAGGCGGCACGGGGATCGTGACGGGGTGTGCGGGAGAGTCAAGTCTGCAGTGACCAGGCGCCGAGCCGTACAGGCGACACCTCTGCTGTTATTTCAGCCTCTTCAGTTAAACTCTTACTACTTCTGCTGCCTCCATCGCTATTGTCACTTTCCGTAGATGTTACGGACGGCATCTTGGTATTTTGCGGAGCTATATATCAGAGAAAATCCTTGGCAAACAAATATTTAATAGATATGGAGGCGGGGGGGAGTCTTATTTAAAAAAAACCTCGAAATTTCGGGATCACCCCCTGCCTATCGCCCCCCCCCCCTGGGCCGTTTCTCGATTCGCCTCTGTGCGGCGTCCCATTCAAGTCCAGCTAAGGGCCAAGTTGGTTCTGTTTCACCGCACGAGAACTCCAGAGACCAATGCAGGAAGAGTCTCATTGCCGCACGAGTGATTGATCCGGGTCGTCCGATAAAACAAAACACAAACCCCCATGATGACAGCACTAAAAACCCAGGGGGTCGCCTTAGAGGACTGCCGCACGCGTGGACGGGGAACGGGGCGGTGGGCACGGCCAGGAGCGAGCGCTACTGCTCACGGGCAAAGTGGTGAGAGAAAGTCGGACCGGTGATTTGAGCTCCCATGTCCCCACGATCGCGTTTTTCCTTGCCGAGTGATGACACTAGCGGCGCCCCTCATCCATCCGGGACAATGATCCCACGGATCCGTTTGCGTCGAGCGAGACGCTCGCTGTGCTGAGACGTTCGTACAGACGACACGCGCAGCAGACCCACGATGTGCTGAGTTTCAGCAGCAGCGACAGCGCGCGGTCCAGAGAAGGAAGAGCGAGCGAGAGAAAACACCCACCCACCACACGTGTGTGCAGACAATACACCAATATCTAGCAGTGGATCGAGAGTGTCAATGGTCACGCTCAATACGACGAGGGAGCGACGAGGCCAGCGCCGATGTGTGCGGTCGACATCACGCGTGCCGTGTGTGCGCTTTGGGTCAGCGAGGGCCAACCTCAGTCACTCACTCGCTCACCCCTTGGAGCCTTATTACGGAGAAAAAACAACAGTAAAATGCACAACTCGGCTGCGGCTGCCTGACCAAGGTACCTGAGTAGCGGACGGGATGGTCTCGGCTGATCGGCGTGGGGGGTTGAGAAGACGAAGCCCGCTCCACTCGAGGCGTCTTCGAGCCGGTCTGGCGATGTTGTTGCTCTGAGCGCTGGGAGCCCCTGCTTATATATGCACGCGTTCGTGAGTGTTTGCGCGTGTGTGTACGTGCGTGAGTGTACGTGCGTGAGTGTGTGCGTGTGTACGTATCGTCTTTACGCTGTCCGCATTGACCTGACGGAGGAGGCGCGTGTGTGCGTGCGTGTGTGCTCACGCACGCACGCACGCACACGTGGTTATTCTTCCGCACATTAAATCCTGAATTCTTGAAGGCGCGGGTGGGGGTGGCGAGTTGGTGTGGACGGTGTTGAGGAGTGGGGGGGGGGGGTGGGAGTGGGAGGGGAGGGGCGCTGTTGTTGTGGTGGAGGAGGGTTCTTGGTTCTGGGCCATTTCGGGAATTACGGGGCCGGGGTGGTTCCTTGTTTGAGAGCGGAAAATGAGAGCGAGGGGATTCTTTTGGCGAGAGGGAGGAGGCGGTAACCCCCCCCCCCCACCACGGCGCTCGCGCGGTTCTGGAGGATATTAATTATTAATTCCGAGAGGCCAGGATGCGATATAAAGTAATAAAAATGTCCCATTCGCAATCACTGCGATAGATTTAGCCAATTTCTCTCTCTCTCTCTTGTTGTATTCGCTGGGTGTTTTTTGTGTTTTGTGTGGAGAGCGAGCCGGGAGAACTCCCGCCAAGCCTACGAGGATCCCGCCATTACCAATATGATCACTATTATTATAATGAGTAGTATTCAATTAGTATTCTTATTAGTATCATGTTGCATATGTAGACGGCAGCAATCATGCAATTACATCTCACGGAGGTGCAAGGGAAACCACAGACAAGAACCGAGGTCAACAATTGCCCGAGCTCTGTGGTTCTATGATTGTATGTTTGGCCAACTCCACTGACAACTCTCCAAATTCCGCACATTCGGGTTCACGAGCCAGATTCGCTGCACCGCACCATCCTCCGGCCAATGTCGCAAGCCCAGCACACTTGGGAGTCTCGCTACAGAAATCTCTGCGTGATCCACCAACCCCTTTCGTTCGAAAGTGCCGGGCCTCAAGCGTGCATAGCCACCACCACCACTACCACCACCACTACCACTACCACCACTACCACCACCACTACCACTACCACCACCACCACTACCACCACTACCACCACTACCACCACCACCACCACGCCCGCACCACAACCCCCGGTGTCCCTCTCGGCACGCGCCGGGAGGAGACCACGTGGTGGGGGCTGTGTGAGGGCGCAGCCGACTCCGTGCGCCACGGAGTCGTCGGGGGAACACCGCCGGGGAGGGGTGGGGGTGAAGGGAGGAGGGGTGGGGGCATAGGGGGAGGTGGAGTGGGGGGTAGAGGGATGGGAGGAAGAGGACATTGGGGGGGGGGGGTGGAGGGGGTTAGGTTTCCCCAAATGTCAAAATGTTTAAATAGAGACAAAACATTTCAGGGGGCGGGGTGCGATTGGCCCATGCCCCTCCCCTCCACTCCTGGATCTAACCCCCCCATCACCCCGCGCCCCCGAATGCGGGAGAGTGTCGCGGAGACTCACAGACGTGAGTCGTCATCTGATTCTCACCGAGTCTGGGCATCAGCTGGGGCCGAGCTCTCACGCACCTGACACTCTGTGAACCAGCAAAGTTATGAATAATAAGTATGATGATGATGATGATTATTATTATTATTCATCAAGGAGAGTCACGCTGCGACATTGGGTTTTTTTTTGCAGCCAATGAATCATGAGTCGTGGTTATTATTTAGATGGGGGGAGGAAACCGGAGCACCCGGAGAAACCCCACGCCTTGCGCGAGGGGGCAACGCTCTATACCGCGCGTACAGATGGAAACCGATGGCGATTAGTCCCACTTGCTGTACTGCCTTCCCCTGGCGAGGTAGTTTCGCAACATCTACGCTATGAACCCGGCGACCCGAGTTCGATTCCAGCTCACGGCCAACATAGGTGAGGATTATCTGAACTGGTCCTGGGCCTCCCCTAGGTCGACTCGGCCTCAAATAATTACCTGGTGCGATGTGAAATCATCGCCTCAAGGAGACAAAGGTGGCCGTGCGTGGTGCTGGCCACCACGCTCATCAGAGGTGCTACTCGCGAACAGGGCTTGCCCCAAATGTCTGGCAAGGCTATACGGGGATCTTTGTCTTTCCAGATACAGTATCGTGATACCCGTGCCAATATCAATAAATAAATGTAACCTTTTCACGAGAACGCTGAGATCCTTATTGGTTGTGGCAAAGCAGTGATTGTGCACACCCCGTTGGGTGGAGGAGTCTTCACGGCCGATCGCCGGAGAGTGGCGACGCAGCGGCAGCGAACAGCGAGAACGCACGGGGAGCGGCGAGGGACAGCAGCCACCACGGCTCAATCAGCAGTGGGTAGACGATGGATGATGATGATGATTTCAGCGTAAGAAGGCCTTCCTTCAGCAGTGGATATACCATAGATTACGGTGATAATTATGATTATGACATGGGGGTGCCTTAATCTAGCAAGCGGATAGACCACGGCTCAAGATGATGATGATGATGCTGCTGATGACGATGGTGATGTTTATTTTGCTGCTAACAAAGATTAAGTCGTACAGCACAAGGAAAGCAGTCGTTGTGTGGGTAGCTGCTCCCCGCAGCTACCCACACACACGCTGATGCTCACTCCCCACACTCCCCGAAGTTACCCACACACACGCTGATGCTCACTCCCCGCAGCTACCCACACACACGCTGATGCTCACTCCCCGCAGCTACCCACACACACGCTGATGCTCACTCCCCACAGCTACCCACACTCCCCACAGCTACCCACACACGCTGATGCTCATTCCCCACACTCCGTGACGGAGCCAGGGGAAGGGAACTTTACACGGACTCGCTCCCCTAGCAGCCACCCCTCCCCACCCCCTTCCCTCGGCGTCTTCCAAGCGAAGACTTTGATGTCAGAGGAGTCCCAGTGACGCGACCGACACTCTTAGTTAAAAAGAAGGGGGGGGGGAGTTGTCCCGGCCCCCACCTCGCCCAGCCAGCGTGACCTTTCAGCCGAGTGCACGCGTGTGGGAAAAGTCAAAGTGCAAAGGTCAAGCGCTCAAAGTGACAAATGGCGGGGGATGGGGGGGGGGACTGTTCCATGGTGACGTCACCGAGCTGAAATACTGCCCCCCACCCCCTCCCCTACCATCCCACACAGACTGTCCCATCCGCGCTGTGCCCGGTGGCTTTGGCCTCTTAGCTGCAAGGGGGACTCAAGCGGCGGGAGTGGGGATCTCAAGAGGGGTGGGTATGCGACCTCCCCCCCTTCCCCTCGTGAGAGTTCCAAATTCGTATTACAATGTGCTGATAATCACGGGGTTAAACGCATTTAAAGTTTATTGTTCATAGTGCAGGGAGCAGTGAGACTTGAGCCCAGGAACGCATCACCAAGTGAGTTGTGTAATATCTGCAAACCCGCAAATATTGCTAAAATGTGTGCTTTTATCAGAGTCCATGGTGTTATGAAGTACTCTTTGCAACTATTATCCGTTCTACCGCTCGGACCTCTCCAACCCACCAACCCTCTCACTCACTCACTCGCCCACTCACCCACTCACTCGCCCACCCACCTGCCACCGACACGTGCATATTTGGGGCAGTGCGATGTTTTATGCTCCACGGTTTGGAGTGGCACAGAGGAGGGGGACAGAGGGAATCTGTGAGTCTCCACCCGTGGTTTGTGCGGATCTGGTTAAGCGCTGTCCATTGTTTCCGTGGAAGGTGGAAGCCGCGCAGTGTGGTGGTTGGCTCGCTGACGAGCTGTATGTAGTGGAAGCCGCGCCATGTGTTAGGTGGGCGAGACACCTCTGAACGTCAACCTGACTTAGTATTTAAAGGGCAGAGATTGAGGCCTTGGTAGATTCTTACCACTCACCACACTGTCGGTCGCAACACTTACAGTCCTGTTTATTCCCTCGCACTGCTCCGCTTTGGAATTTGCTCCCACTATTGCCACCACCATCGTCTCCTTTGCTAAGCTCTTGTCATCAGCCATGATCCATCCTCTGCTTAGGGAAAGCCTCCCCAAACCCGCCTCTACCTCTCACGATCCTGCGCGGCAGTCCAAATCCTCCCGGGCGCGCTCTGCACACGAGCCGATTTCATGGCTCCATACTCCTCGGCGAACGTCCTCGTCTCGGACGTGTCCCATACCCTTGGCTGCCCAAGCTCCGCTCGCTTTTGTGAACAGATTTGGCGATGGGTGAAACCCGCGTGCACCTCTCATTCTCTCTCAATGTCCACCAATCTCTGCTGGCGCCTGCACAGTGCTGGGTCACAGGCAGCCACGTGCAGCGGAGCCGCCACCACTATCCGTCTAAGTAGTTGTGTACATAACAGTGTAAAGACGAAGATCGCCCGTGTAGCCTTAACAGAATGTTGGGACAGTACACCAGGGGGTCGGTGACCAGCACTAGATCCAGTCGCCTTCGTCTCCCCACTGGTGATGCATACACATTGCGTCAGATACGGTATTAATTTGTGGCTGAGTCGACCTAGGGGAGACTCGGGACCGGTTGAAATCATCCTCACTGGTGTTGGCCTTGAGCACACATACGCACACACACACACACACACTTGTACACACGCACGCACACGAACACTCTTTAGCCCGCACACAAAACACCAGGAAAAAATATGTGTAATTCACCTTCCCAAAACACAATGCAGCGATTAAAACAATGAAAAAAACAACACGATTATGCATCGTTATTTTTTTTTTATGTTTCTCTCGCTGCAATTCAGCCCCGCTAAATAGAACAAATAAAAACACAGCAACCACATATAGTCACAGTCGCCCACAAAGACAAAGATCCCCCGAATAGTCCTAATGTTGGGGCAAGTGCTCTTAACGAGTAGCACCTATGAAGGCTGGCACAACACGCGGTGGGGGTGGGTGGCCAGCATCACGCCGAACTTCCTTTGCCTCCCCAGTGGCGATGTTTTTCTACCATACCAGGTACTCAGTTGAGGCTGAGTCGACCTAGGGGAGGTCCAGCACCAGTTAAGATAATCGCCACTGGTGTTGGCCGTGAGCGGGAATCGGGTTTTGTAGCGCATCGCGCTAACACCTACATTACCGCTCCCCTGCACTGCACTCGCTCACACGTACCCTCACACACTCACTCACACACTCACTCACACGCTCATTCATTCAAATGTTACTTTCTCAGACTCG